GTGTCCTTGACTGACTCTGTCATGTCCTCCAATTTTTTAGGTTTAAAACTTTTAGAGGCTACCAAAAACGTATGAAAACTGAATGTTAGAAAGAAATGCATTACAATTAAAAACCCCTGTGACCTTGAAAAGTAGGTCAAGGTCACTGAAACTGGGTCTATGGCATAGTCTTACCACAGGCTACCTATGATAATTATTTATCTAAAGTTAGCTAAACTTTCGTAGCAACTGCCTAATTACTTTTTTTAATATAGATTTTTAACTATTTATGACATTTCAGAAATCGTGACTTTGGCAATTTCTCCATGAAATACTTTTTTTTTGGTCATAGCATGCTATAGTAAACTACCCCAAACATATACCCCAAACCGCCAAATCAAATGTCAAATTTGACCTTGACCCTCATTTTCAAGGTCATTTGGCTATTTCATGGAGAAATATTGACGTGGGCTAAAAGTGATGTTTTGTTGACCCCCCCACCCCCATTTCGCACATGCTCTTTCAGAATATGGGATCAAATTTAACCCGTGACCTTCACATGACCTTGTAAGTGCTCATTTCCTTCAAGTTCAAAGGTCAATATCCCTACATTTGACATTTTTGCTTATGTTTTACCTCCATATACCTGCTATTATACAGATATATTCCCTTAGAATAGTTTGTTAACATAACCCAAAATTAAGTCAAGGGGCCATTACGTCCTTAAACCATTACACAATATATTTTACTGATTGACGAAAGCATTTCCACACCTGTTTTGCAGGGGAATCCTCCTTGTATTGTATTTGCTATAATATATTCTCACATTTTTTTAAAGAACACAAAAGTTTTGCTGCGTGACTTCCTTTAGGATTCTAATACTATAACGATATCTTATATGGCGTGCTCTGCATCATGTGTTCATACATCATAATTTGTGGATAATTGTGTGAGTAGGGGGGGGTCCTCACTCGTCATGATGGTGCGTCTCAAACCTGTTAAATTCCTGACCCTTTAAAACACCGCTACAGATGTAGACACTCTAACCCTAAAACAGTATGTTCCATGTTAAAAAAAAAAAAAAAAAAAAAAAAATTAAACAAAAAGTGAAAATGTGAGCCACAAATATTTAGTTTAATATCGGCATAAATATATGGCATGCTACATTATTTTCTCTGGTTTATGGTATTGTACGTGTACCCTCTAACAGAGAAAGCAGTCAACAGTGATATGAAACACTAATAAAAACGTCATGTAAAACATGAGCGTTAGTGACGTGACTTAAAACGTTCACTCTCTTTAGGAATGAAGCCCCGGAGTGCAGTTGAGATAAGTTAATTTACGCTGTCATATATTTCATATTAAAAAAACGAGTATTTATTTCAAGAGGTCAGGGTGGGAAGGGGAGCATAAGAGAAAAGCGAACTATAAGCAATATACTTGGGAATACCCTGCAATTTATCAATTTATCTTTTTCAATTCATGCCGAGAACTATCACCGTACCAGCCGATCTCATGGATACTTCACATGGCCGTTTAAACCAATAAACATTGGTTTTTAATCACCCACACCCCACCCCACCCCACCGAACGTTATATTAGCATGTTTAGGAATAAAAACCATGTACCAAAGAAAATAATTTAAAGACCAAAAGAGAAATAGCCAAGGGCACATTTCGGTATGACTATTAAAATCTGTAGGCTTAATATAAACATAGTCTATCAATAAACATACAAATTGCTACAGTATGACACAGCTGGCCATGTGCGGATTTGATTAACAGCGCATGTTTACATTGTGTCATATATGGCACATACCCGTAGATAAAGAGTTTAATGTTGCTTTCTGGCCATGGAGCCAATCCAAGGCAAAACAAAAATATCCAACGTTAATTGTACATCTAATTTAACTGTTCGAAGGCTTTTACCAAACCATATATTCTATTTTGCACCTTTTATCTCTTTTGCAACTATTATGTTATGAAATAACGATCTGAACTAAAAAAGATTTCAAGTTGAGCCTTTCTTTTGATATACTTTATCATTTTTCATGATTATCTTGCTTGGTCGGTTAGGAAGATATATAATTCCCCCCCTACCCGCCCACACTTATTTCAACCTGTAGGATCGGTAAGTCGGTAGTCTGGCTCGGGCAATAAAATCCCACTATCTCCACATCTGGTTTCTATCAAGCTCGTTCAAGAGCTTAGGACAAACATATAGCTCCTCGGGCCAGGAAATCAGGAGAGGGAGAGTAGAGTGGAACATGTCTTCTTAATATGGAAATCTATATATTTTTGGTAATTTCCTTTTTAACATTTACAAACACTATAAAATACCCTTTCTCGAATTAATATTACGTTCACACATTTCTGTAAATGTCCCAAACTAGAGAAGTGTTATAAACTATACACATCTTGGCAATAACCGGAAGCCAGTGAGCCGGCAGAGTGATTTAGTTATTATGTTTAACATTTATATTTTTAGTAATATCAAACAATCTTGTCGTATCCATTACGTTGTGACCTTACCTGCCAAAAGCAAGTCTGCGCGCTCATTTCATCTTTCTGATCTCTCACATAAATATAAAAAAAACAGAGTATCAACTACAAGTGCTCGGCTGGGGTGGACGCATGAAGGGAATAAATAATTATAACCAGTATCCTTGGGACACAAGTTTACTCTGCAATTTATCTCTTTCAATTTATGCTGTGAAATATCATCCACCTAACCTGCTGATCTCGCGAATCAACCAAATGAGCGTTAATTGGGTTGCTAAACTGCCCCGAATGTCATACTGGAAGGTTTGCAAATTAAGACTATACCGCAGAAAAAGTTTGGGGCCCAAAAGAGAGCCAGTTAAAGACTCGTTTGGGGAACACGTTTGTTCGCGTCATGATGGACATTTACAGGTGTAGGACCAGAGCAGAGCCTCTTGTAAACAGTTTAGAACCAAGGGACCGAATTTGATTTGAAGACCAGAAAAGAGGCTTAACAGAAGTGCCTGTTATATTGGGTATACCTGACCGCACCCTCAACTTGGACTTAATATCATTGAGAGGTAACATCCTTGATTATCCTCGATGTAATAGTATCATGTTGGTAATATCCGGTGCGAAATTTAAGCAAAAGAGAATTGGTAAAGAAAATGTCACAATACAGAATCAAAAGCTTTTTTAAAGGCAATAACTGTATAATAACTGAGGCAACGCATATATACGTAAGATGGATACTTTCATACAAGGCTGTACTCATAATATATCCCCTGTATCCTTACTGATAATTTAATAAATTTGGCTAAAATTCTTTTCATTTGTGATTTAATGTTACAATGCAATTGAATTATTTTTCTTAGGAGGGTAATGAAGAAAACACGTAATTGTAATCCTGTCAAACATTTAATTTTTAACCTTAGATCATGCTAAAGTCAGCAGGCAGCACGAGCCAAAAACCCTGTTATGGCTGGGTATACTAAACATACAGTTGCATTGGGTGTGCGGTCTTATCAATAAATAAGGTATTTATGTAAAGTAAAAAGAGCAAGTATTTTAAAAGGCACAGTGAATGGTGCAAATCTCATATTATTTTTAGTCATTGGAAATATAATGAAGAGCTTAATTTAATCTACATTTGTAGTCGTTTTTTCGCTCGCTTTCCTAGGAATCGCACAACTAGGACAGGCATTCCCAGGATGTAATGTCCACAGGACAAAATTGTGCAAAAGAAAAAAAAAACGGTAAATGCAAACCGGTCATGCCATTTAGGAAATAAACCTGTATCTTTACCAATTAAATCCGATCAGTAAATTTAAAGTAAATCAAAAATACGGTTTGGCAGTTATGGGGCGAACGGCACGTGTTGGACATCGAAGGCAGACAGACAAACCGACAAGAATATACACAGACACTTACATTGTCTGTATATGAAAAGTACCAACCTGAACACTCAGACATGGGTAATTGGTACCCTCTACTGGAGCCACATATTGATTTTTCACAAGATTTTCACATATTTGGTTCTCTGTAACCCTGTGATGAAATCTCAAGGATGATTACATGACTGGTAGCTGTCTGCATAACTGGTCAGGCACTGCCACTTAAAAAGCCCAAGCCAATTCCCCTTGACAGCAATCAAGTTAGTTTCTCTGAGTGTAACCACTTGCTCTTTTGTGACGGATAAAATTAGACCCTTCTAATAACTTGTTTCTTCAGCTTGAAGTTAACTGAGGAATCTCCTGTAGTAACCCCCTACAGAGCGGGTACAATGCTATCTGCACGCGTGCATTTTCAATTGCTTCCATCTGGTCAAAAGTTTCAGGGTGTTAATGTGGAAAATGTCTCTATATCTGCCACACTGGTAACGGTCATCGGCCTAGAAACAAAAAACAGAGTGGAGGGTACTTGTCAAGTTGGCTTGAGACTCATTTTTTCATTCATTCACTTTTGAATTTCCTTTTTTCTCTCTTTCCTTTTTTTAAACAGACACTGGTTACCACTCAAGGAATAAACACCTTATCAGTGTTGCTTTTGTTCAAGGATATTAGACTTTTGAATTTAGATTCAAGTTAGAAAATGACAACAATATCTTCAATCACTTTAGGTTTTCTTTCCATGATTACAGTACTTACTGTTACTGTTACAGTGCACATAAGTGTATTTGTTGGAAACAAATCAATTAAATATCTTAAGAAGTGGCACACATTTATTATCAATCATAATCTATATCTTCATAAACAATCATCTCATCAAAAAGATACCAAGCTGGATAAAGTTACCAAGTGGGGGGTAATTGGATGGAAGGGGGCAGCCACTGCTTCTACCCCACACCCATGGAATATACTTAGTTTTCCAGTATTCCAGTATTCCACTTTTACAAAATATGATTCATGAGCTTTGTTGTGTCCTCATCCCCCTCCCAATCCCTTTGGGATAGATAGATTCCACCTTTGCCAAACAGGTCTTTTTCTGAACCCATCATAATGTTTCAGAAAAATAGGTGGCGCTGTATCTGCCTGTCCATGCTTATTGGGGTGTCTCCGTCTGTTTGACAATCAAGACGACTGGAACGGAGGTGCAAGGGATGACCCCAATTTCTGTAATCACCATGGTAACAAATTCTGGGGGTGTGGCGTCATAGACCAGGTTCAGGAGGCGGAGGTTCTTGAACTGCTTCCAGTTGTCCAGGTGGTTTTTTTTTGTGAGTCTTCACCAGGTCGCCAGGGTCTCATGGACTGTGATAAAAATACGGAAAATTTTGAGCCAATCTGTAAAAGTCAGACTTAGTTTGATTTTTTGTGGCTGTTTTGTTTGTCTTCTATTGATGATTATACTACAGTCTGCTGAGCATCCTTAACACCATGATGAGAGAGAGAGAGAGAGAGACAGAGAGAGGCCGCATTCAGAACAAGTTGATCCGCGGATCAAATACCATCGACCCACTTAAAATCGTGCCACCTATTCCCCTAATAGACACTGTGTAGATTCCCAGCGGGATTGTGCAATAATCATTCAAGTGGGTCGGCAATATTTGATGCACGGATCTATCAGAAAGAGAGAGACCTGAACAGCAAAAATAAAAAATAAAAATAAATAAATAAATAAATAAATAAATGAAAAATAAATAAAAAAAGAAAAAAAACTCACCTAATTCATTGTCAACAAAAGTATCTGCCTGTACTCTCTCACAGAACGTGTAGGTCTCACAACACACCAGGACCGACACATCATACGCCTTGGCCAGGAGCGAGATCTGGGAGGTCCCAACTGTGGACATGACATGACATAACCATTGGCTAGCAAAGCATGAGCACCTAAGAAGACTTTCGTAGTCTGGAATCATTATGATAAATCACAGTGTTACTTTTTCTATTATATAAAATAAAATGTATAGATGAAAGTGAATTGTCATGTCAGATAAAATACACTGTGCTAGATGAGATATGGATATTTTCTTTGAGGAGACAGTTTGGACTGTGTTGGTTGAGACAAAACACACGTTACATGGATGTATTGTCAATGTATACTGTGTTAGATGAGGCATTTAGTTGCATAAAGGCAAACCATTATCATCTCCTCAACAGAGACATAATACACTTTTCTGAAGCAGGTAAAATAATTTCTTTATTGTCCTAGATGCAGAGAACAGTATTTGATGAACCAGTGTACACTGTACAAGTTTCTTTACCTCTACCAAGAGTAAAAGGAGCTTTCTCACAGAGCATTGTGTTAGAGGAGACAGTGCATTATATTGGTTGAGATGTTGTGTTGGTTGACCATTGTGCATTGCTCTAGCTAACGTGTGGTGCATAGTGCTGACTGAAACACTGTTCATTTTTTTTTTGTTTGAAACAAGGCTTTTCCCAGAGAGCCACACAGCCGTCATTTAGATGTCAGCCATCAGCCTTAAAAATGGCCAATATTTCCAAGGACGGCTGGATGGCTTACAAAACTTTGGGGTTGGTTAGTAAGTAGGCTAAGTAAGTAAGTTTATTAAGACATGGCAACCAAAAGGTTGAAGTTATACATAAAATGGAGTAAGAATAAAATTTACAAATTTACAAATTAAAATATTGATATATAATATAAGATATGCGAATAGAACTTAATGAGATTTAAAAAAGGATAAAATAAAATAAATAAATAAAATAAATTTTTGCACACGCACCTGTAAGCTAGTGTAAAACAGGATGGAGTAATGAAAATTAAATACAATGAAGGCCAAAATGAGTATCAACAGTAAAACTCAGACTACTATTGGTTTAATAAACAGAAAGGAATAAAAGTGTTTTTAAAACTTTCAGTTCTAATTTTTGGTATATTTAACTTCGACAGGCTATTGCTTAGTCTCCTGTGTGGATTGAAGGTTAAAAGGTAGTTCAGCTTGTTTGTGTCATTTTTTTTTTTTTTTTTTTTTTTTTGCAAAGAGTGATTTGCAGAGTTCAAATCTGCGCTCTTTTAATCTAATAAGTTTTGCTTTGGCTAGAGCATCAACATAAGTTAATTTAGGGAAAATGATCCTAAGTGCCCTTGGGCATGCTTTGATTGGACTCCCTGTAAATCAACGAGCAAATGAGAGATTCACATTTTGGATTTCCTGTACCCCAAATCCTGGGGAAACCCCTGGTTTGTAATAAATCGCACTAACCTCTTGCATACCGTAAGAAGCTGTATTGATGAGAACACTTAATGCCTTATCGAACAAGGCGACGGAGCATCTCTGGCCATTCTAACTTTGGACGACCATCTACAATGATAAGACGAAATTATCTTCCTTTCGAGTGTGCAGTGGAGTATCTTCCGGATCAAAGAAGAGCTGAGATGAAAAACAGATGTTTAGTAAATTAACTGACACCAGACTCACCATTAGTATACCCATCCCAACTCCACTCACCAACCAAACACTGGCAGGGCATCCCCATCTTCTATTTTCTGCACAGCAGTTAGAGAGATCCCAGCGGGTAAATCACGTTGTTGTAACGTTGAAACAACTTTGAACCATAACGTTGATAAGACGTTGGATAAACGTTGGATTTGAAAGTTGGATCAACGTCAGATAACAACGTTGTATCACCGTCAGATAACAACATTGTATCAACCCCAGTTGTTAGACAACATTCTTGCATGAAAAGACATTAAAATGACTTGAAATGTTTTTATTTTTGGTAAAAAACACAGGTACACAATTATAACCTACACTGTAAAAACATCCAAGTGCCAGCTTTGTCTCATTTTTTTCAACGCATTTAGCTCCTAAGCATGTTTTGCACTGCCCTGAGTGTCAGGACCACTGTGAAGCAAGATTATTAACTGTTGAAACGTTTTCACGCGTTAGCTTCACAGTGGCTCAGAGGAACAGCGACCATGTTCGACTTCCGTCAATTAAAAAAAAAAAAAAAAAAACTACTCCGCAGTGAATCTGCAGCTGAATGTCATTTAACCAAAATGAAACGTAAAACAGATTTAATTCTGCTTTATTTAATTTTACTTACTGTATTTAAGATGTAAAGTGAAAAAATAAATAATATTAGTCGAAAACAAAAGATATATCCAATGTTTTTGTATTTTTTGCTCATCAAAAACATTTTCTCCTGGAGGTATGAACACAATACACTTGCTTGCCGTGTGCCAAGTTTGACAGCTACACTGTATGCCCGATACCACTATAAGGGTTGAGCAGTGGCTACACCAAAATCAGTTTTCAAAGCAGAATGTTGCTTGTGTTGTGGCTCTGACCTTCGACTGCAAGATATTCTTAATTCAAACTTCTAACTTCGCGTCAGCCACTTTGCTTCTTGTCTCGTCTGCGCGAGATAACGTCAGCGCAAGGCGGGGAAGGCAGCTCCAGGCGGCCAAAACTGTGACGTACGAGACTTATGACTTCCAAATATGGATCCAGGCGGACACAGCTGCGACGTACGACAAATGTGACTTCCAAATATGGAAGCGCCCCATGCAAAATTTTGAAGAGAACGCCCACAATTTGACGGTGTTCGCTAGAACCTGGTATTGCTAATATGGGTTATATATGGAATCAAGATCGAGATGGCAATCTAGAACCTAGGGTAGTTTTGCACCTAAGCACCTTTTAGCCTGGATGTGCTTAGCAGTAGGACATGTTTGGTGGCTAAATATATGTAGGGTATATATGTATGGCCTTTAAGTAAGGATTTCCAATGTTTAGTTATATATATATATATATATATATATATATATATATATATATATATATATATATATATATATATATTAAAAGTAAAAGTGTTCTTCCTGTACGAGAATATATTATATATAATAAAAAGAAAAAAAAAGGGAGAAAAAAAGAACAGCAGCTATTTTGTCACTTTTTCATTCTTTCTTCAGGGATTTTTGTTTATTTGTTACTAGGTGATGTCATAAAGGCTAAAATGTGACGTCTGTAACAATGGGTGCTTAGTTGTTGCTTTTACCAATGCTAT